TTCCCTCAAGCAGAGTAAGGGCTTTCAAATGTGGTGGGATATGTGTACTACAGAGGGCTAGGAGGCTCAGGTCTGAACACTACTGTAGAGTTCTTACCGATCAGAGCATCTTTATCCCTGAGGTACCATTTTTAACTCAAATTTAGTGATGTTTCTTTGGATTCACTATAAAGTTTTTGAAGTAATTTACATACATTGCAAAGATCTTAGGTGTTAAGTTTGATGAACTTTACAGAGTTGTGTACATTCAAAAGTTTTAGAACATTATCATTTTCTTCAACAGTTTTACCAACCTTCAATTTCATACACTGACAATGTTTTCATATTATGAGTAAGTAAATGCAATTTTTCCTTTATGACTTTGTTCTTTTTAATAAATACAGGTACAGACATTTAATGCAACTGGAACTTAGGGACCAAAATCTAATACAGCATCTTCCTGTAACTCTCCCATTACCCCTATGGTTCCAGCTGTTGCGGAAGCCAGCCTTTCCCTATTCTTTATATTCACTGTTGCATTTGGTTGTATGTTATGGACATCCCATGTCACTCTGCTGTACCAGTATCATGTCATCTTGAATATCAGCTTTATTATATTCTTGATTATCTGTGCCCCTCATTCTCCTTTTACCAAAAAAAAAAAAGTTGAATATGTTTCCTCAGGATGAGCTTTGAATAATGTGGGGAATATTTCCCTGTTGGCTGTGTTTTTAAATGCATAGATTAAATTGCTAGGTGATATTTTGAGCATGGATTTTATGTCCATTTCAGGAAGATGCTACATCTTTCTAATTACAGAAGTGTTTGTATCACCCCCACTACCATTCAGTTCCCTTTATAGGGCTGCTTTCTTAAATTAATTCCTTATTTCATATCTGTTAGTGCTGTTATGAACTATTCCTCTACCCCCCAAGTAGGACTTAGCCATTAGTCACTTAAAAGCAAATGGTCTCAATGTCTATCATTTCCACCAGATGGCAGTCTTGGGCACGTCCATTTGTAAACCCAGCTGAGAACTCTGGTGACAAAGCAGTGGTTGATCGACCTACCAAGAGCCCAGAAGCACAAAGAAGAACAAAAAGTTTTGTTTTGTTTTTGTAAACCTGAAAGAAAAAGTCCAGCGGTGCATCATTCCAGTATCTGTCCTGCTGTGAGCTTTGATCTTGTAGCCCACCAGAAAAGGCAGAGAAGAGCTCCCACCTTGCCTTTTAAACCTTTGCTTTTCCACAGTCATGCAATAAACGTTTGTGGCTTCTTGGTAGCATCTGTGGTTTTATTCCAGGGACTATTGTGATAAAAGCATTAATCTGTTATCATTTCCTTCCCTCACCTTCCCATTCCATGCACTGTTCAAGCCAGGAGTTACTGGATTTCTGTGTGCCGTGGAAGCATCTTGTAGCTAGTTATCATTCCTAGATCTCTCTCAAAAGGAGCTGGTGTTTGTATTTAACGTGGAAGCAAGAGGTTTGTACGTGGATACAAATCTTCAGGCCCGTTTTGGTTTGATACAGGTCACTTTCAAGACGTGTATGGAGGAATGCAAGCAATAGAGATTTGCTTGTTCAGACCTGCAAATGGCCTAAAATGGTTCACTGACATGATACATCACCTGGGTAACCTTTGTCTTACACATTGTTTAGAATAAATGAGTTCAAACCCAGGGCTTTACCGTGTGCTAAAGAAGCACTCTACTACTGAGCTGAGTACACCTGTACTCCTTGTAGTGTTTATCACAATTGTTTATTAATCAGCTATAGATGTCATGTGTTAGACCTGCTTTTTCTATGTATGTTATTTGTGATTAAAAATTTGAGGATCAATGAGATGATGGGTCACAAAGTTGCTTGTCATTAGTTGGCGATGACCTGTGTTTGGTCCCTGGGACCCACATGGTGGAAAGGAAGAGACCTACTCCCATAAGCTGTCCTCTGACCTCTGATTACATTCTGTGGTACACATGAGCACACACACCCAACACAAAGTAAATGTAATTTTAAAGTTACTTTAGAGCCAGCAAGATGGTGGCTAAGAACACCAGCTGCTTGCTTTTCCAGCAGTCCAGGGTTCGATGCCCAGCACCCACGTGGTGGCTTATAACCATCTGTATCTCCAGTCCCAGAGCATCTGATGCCCTCCTGGCCTCCATAGATACCAGGCATGCACATACTTACATGCAGACATACGTACTCATAAAGTGTGTGGGGGGGGCATTAAAATTCGAGTGCTGGGATTGGACTCTGGTCCTTGTTTTTGCCAGGTGTGTTACTGATGGAGCGCTCTCTGCAGCATGTCAGAAATGTAACCTTTTAACTTAGGGTTCCAGCTATTTAGTTTTCAGTGAAATTTTTAACCTCTTGTAATTTCTTCCCCCTGTACTGCCTGCTTATTGCCTTTTTCCTTTTTCTCACCTGCTGTGTTAATTTGTAAAGTCAAGTGTCAGAGGTGTTTCAACAAATGTTTTCCTCTAGGTGGGTGCTTTTCTGTTCCTGTCTTCTGAAGAAGTAAAACTTACTGGGTATTTCCCTTTATACCCTCTAGCATTTATACTTTGCATTGTATGTAGGAAAGCTTTTCAACTTCAGGATTATTATGTATTTTTCAAATGCATAAATTTTATATTTTTACATTTAAGGCAGACTTACATAGAACTTATTTTGGTCTAAGGAAGAGGGTAAGTTATATAGCTTTATTCCAATTAGCCAATGGTCCAACATTACTTATTAAACTATCTTTTCTGTCTCTTGATTTGAGTGTTGCCTTTCTGTATTTAAAGCTCTTTTAATACATACATTTATATATGCAAATATACACATTGCATACCTCTTTCTGTACTTAAAGCTCTTCTAATACTTCTTTGTATACATTCTTATATGCAGATATACACATATTTCATACCTCTTTTGTCTTAGTCTCAACTCTTTATTTTTGTGTAGTTTGTTTCAAAATATACTAGGGCTAACCTCAGTTACCCTGAAAAATGTCACAGTTCTGGACACAAATTGCCAGATTACTTTGTGGCCATCATTTGTCAAATTACATTGTGCCCTTGTCTGAACAACTTTTTAAAAGTAATTCTTTAATGTGATTGAAAATGCTTTTATTCTTTGATATAATGAACCATTCTGTGTGAAATGTCTATTTAAATTATTCCAAATTTTCTGCCGATATGTAATGTTTAAACTGCTGATGTGAAATTCCATGATCTGTACATATACATAAAATCTACCAGCACATACTTGCAAAGGTAAGTATTTTGGTGTATTTGTTGAAAACATATCCCTCAACTCTCTTGCTCTCAGTGGATATGCCTTGTGATACAGTAAATCCAAAGACATTTGTTCAGTGTGTCATGAGCACCCATGCTGCAAGTTCAAGGGCCATGGCTGTTGTCTCTGTCAACAGTGCAGAGAGGGTGAACAGGGATGGTTCTGTTGTGGAATCAAGTGCTGAGATGTCATTTTCTTAACGACTTTTCATTGTTTACATTATTTTAAGCTGGGTGTAGTGAAGCATGCCTGCAATCCTACTCCTTGAGAGGTAGAGGCAGATGGATAACATTTCTTCACAGTTCCACCTGGCCGCCCCCCCCATAGTAACTGGATTTCAAGAACTGCATTGTGGAAATACTGGGCTCCGATCCCTCATGGTGCTGAGGGTGACAGTTTTTCAAATGTCTCCTCCAGTGATGTCTCTGCTGAAAGATCCAGGCATTACACTGGCCTGGCCCTGTCACCTGGGAGAATCTACTCAGGCAGTACCCTGGTCAGCCCAGGGTTCCATGAGGACTAGTCTGCATGCAGGTGTAAAGGACCCCTTTAAAACACAGACCCCTGCCCACTTAGGCTCTCTTACACTCTTACCTTCCTGCCTCCTCTCTCTCACTCTCCCTTTCCAGCCCTGTAATAAACTCTATGAGTAATGTACTCTCGTTCGTGTTCCATCGCGCTGGCTCCATCTCTCGCCTTTCTAATTTTTTAAAGTTTTACAAAATAACATCTGCTACTTCCTCAGAGCCCAAACATAGTAAGACCGAGTCTCGGGGCTTCTATTGCTGTGATAAACACTGACCATAAACAGGCTGGGCAGGAAAAGGTTTATTTCAGCCCTGTAACTCTCAAATCACATTTGATGAGAAAGTCCGAGCAGGAACTCAAGGCGGGAACCTGGAGGCAGAAGCTAATGCAGAGGCCATGGAGAAATGCTGCTTGCTGGCATTTTTACAGTATCCAGGATCACTAGCCTAGGGATGGCACCGCCCACAATGGGCTGGGTCCTCCCACATCAGTCATCAAACAAGAAAATGCACTACAGGCCAATCTGGTGAGGGCACTTACTCAGTTAATGTTCCCCTTCCCAAATGACTCTAGCTTGTGTCAAGTTGCCCTAAAACTAGCCCGCACAGACTGGAACCTTTAAAATCGTGGGTCAAGAGCCTGGAGTGATAATGCTGAGCAAGCATGAGGGCCTGAGTTTTTAAACCTCTTAAACCCTTGTAAGAGGATGTTTCAACGTGCCAAAGACTTCGCCACAGCAAGGCTGAGACAGGGATTGCTTAGACATTCTGGTCACCCGGCATAGCTCTGGCTTTAGTGAGACCTTATCTCAGGAATAATCAGTGATAGAGCTGGCCACCTGAGGTCCTCCTGTGGCCCTGTGCTTGCAGGTGTGCCTGGGGGGTGGGGGTGGGCCCAAGTGAACCTTACCTCTAAGAAATTAATTTGTATTGAAAATGGTCATTATGTATTTGAGACATAAAGCAGTATTTAAACATAAATGTTAACTCGTTTCATCAGCCACCTCTGTGAGCTCAAGGCCAGCCTGGTCTTAACAGTGACTTCCAAGCCTGCTAGTCAAAACAGACAATAGCAGAAAATTACTTTCATTACAAAGAAGTTTCAAGTATAATAACGATGAGAAACACCATTTACTAGATGTCGAGTATTTTTAAGAATATATTTAGCTCAGTGGTGGCGCACACCTTTAGTCCCAGCACTCAGGAGGCAGAGACAGGAGGATCTTTGTGAGTTCAAGGCCATCCAGGGTGTTACACAGAGAAACCCTGACTCTAAAAACAAAATTTAGTAGTTAATTACTCTGCATGGTCATTCTAGAGAAAACCCTGTAATGTCAGGCACCCAGGCAGCTACCCTTATTTAAGAGAAAACAGACAGTAGAGACAGAAGGAGGGGGGAACCCAGGTAAAGGTGGAAGGAGACAATTGTCTGCACAGTGTTGTCCTCTGACCTCCTTGTGGGGACATGCATCCCTCCACTCCCACCCTACACAAGATAATTATAGAATTTAAAAGCTAACTGTAAAAATAAAAGTATCTAATCAAACATCAAGTCCACAGATAGTCTCACTCCTTGAGGCTTAGGAAATCCCAGAGGCGAGCACCTCAGCCTTTTGGTGATTTCCGGAGCTTGTGAATGTGTTCTACACTTGTCAATGATTAAAGAACTGTTTAGTGCCGCTGTTAAGGACTGTTTGCTTGTAGCAATACACTTGAACTTGCAAGGCTCAGAAGTCTCCCTCCCTCCCCACAGTCTGCAAGTGCTTACAAGAATGCGAAGTCACAGCGATCAAAGGACCCAAGGTTGTGCTGAACACACGCAGAGCCTTGCATACACTTGGGCTGTCTGGAGGCAGCCTGAGCTGAGATAAAGGAGCTTCAACAACAAAGTGTCAAGGTTCCCTGTCTCCAGAGCCTCTTCTGCGGGGACCTGTAGGAAGAGAGACCTTCAAACAAAAAGTGCAGCCAGCTTCCCCTTGCAAAATTCGGATTTTTGTTTGTTTTTCGAGATAGGATTTCTCTGTGGCTTTGGAGGCTGTCTTGGAACTAGTTCTTGTAGACCAGGCTGGTCTCAAACTCACAGAGATCCACCTGCCTCTGCCTCCGGAATGCTGGGATTAAAGGCGTGTGCCACCAATGCCCAGCTTCGGGATCATTTTTTATATCTAGTTAAAGAAAATGTTCTGTTCCAAATGCTGTGAAACGGACTTAATAACATTTAGCACTAAACCCATCTTTTAAAATATCTGTCTCAGTGGTAAAGGACCTGCCTTGTACAACCACCATTGTCTATCTCCAAAACTCAACTCCGCAGGAAAAATTCTGTTGTCATTGACCCACAACTTCTACGATTCCTCCCCAAGCCTCCAGCCATCATTCTTTTCTGCTTTTATGAGTATAGGTTCCTTATAAGTGGAACCACACAGTATTTATCTTCTGATATGGTCATTTCCCGTAGCATAATGTCCCCAAGGTCCGTCCATCCTGCAGTGTATATCAGACTTCGTCCCCCCTTTCAGGTTGGATAATGTTCTCCGTTTTGCATTTTGTTTGCCCATCTCTCTGGGCCGTCTCCACCTTTTGTAGTTTTGTGAATAGCATTGCTGTAGGCAGCTGGTACTCAGACAAGCAGCATTTTATGGTGTTTGGAACCCTGCCTCTTCTCCTCAGTCTCCTCCTCCATGTATTGTTACTGTAGCTGAGTCAGCCATCCGGTGTGAAGATAATTTTTACCCCCAACCCCATTTGCCCTTTATTCCTTGGCTGGGCAAAGTCCTGCCAGGTTTATTTATAAGCCATTCAAAGCTCATTAGCAAACCACCGCGCTCAGCAAGTCAACTTTCCAACTCGGTCCCTCCCGAAAAGCACCAGGAAAAGGGGCACGAAGTAGACATGAATGAGGACAAAAGCAAAAGAGACTCCATCCAGATGAGTATGAAGGGGTGCCGGACGAACAACGGGTTTGTCCAGAATGAAGACATCCCAGAGCAGGAGCCAGGCTCCAGGGACACCCCACAGCCCAATGCTGTGAGTATCCCTGCTACAGACGAGCCCCACCCCAAGGCCCTGCGGCCCTATGCGGGGATGCCCAAGGAGGTGCTGTTCCAGTTCTCCGGCCAGGCTCGCTACCGGGTGCCCCGGGAGATCCTCTTCTGGCTCACCGTGGTGTCTGTGTTACTGCTCATTGGTGCCACCATAGTTATCATCGCCATCTCTCCAAAATGCCTTGACTGGTGGCAGGCAGGTCCCATGTACCAGATCTATCCAAGATCTTTTAAGGACAGCGACAAGGATGGGAATGGAGACCTTAAAGGTGAGTGTTCGAGCCCAGGATCAACCAGGGGAAGGTGGTTTGTGCCTCCCACGCCTAGCTTCCTGGAAGCCTTTTAGTGCCTGGGTTGTGCGGTAAGCACATTCCAGGATGGCAGGCACCCGTGCCCCTGGGCGTTATCCAGAAGCTGGCAAGTCTTGCCCTGGATGTAAGGCTGTTTGCTGAAGGCCTCGGAGCCAAAGGGTTTAATCTGATGCCCACTAAGCCAGTGCACATATTCATCTGCTCGTTGGTCCTCCTCCAATCTCTGCCGTCCTGCTACATGATGTAGCCTGTTGTCTGGCTGGAGATTATTGATAAATACATCATGTTACACAAATGTGATGTCTGCAGGAGGGAAAGACTGTCTTCAAGTTTCAATCTTGAGAGATAAGAGAAGGCTAAAAGGCCAAGCAGTGTGTTAGCTGTTAACTAAATGAAGGGTTCTCTAGAGCAATAACTGGTATTAGTGGGAAAATAAAACCAAAATTTTGTGTCTCTTAATAATGTTTCATATGTGATTTCATATCCTTAAATTGAATGTTGTTTTAGGACATATTAAGACTGAAACTGTGCCAGACATTGGGAATAAACTGGAATGGTTGGTAGAGTCAAAGTCAAAATGGTTTAGGACAGCTAGTACTGTCCCACTGGCCTGTAATACCAGCCCTCAGGAGGTGGAGGAAGAAAGATTGACATGAATTCGAGGACAATCTGGGCTCCACCCCCCCAAATCAAAATGAGAAAGTGTAGGAATGGATAAAAACGAGGTGCAGTAAGAAGAAATTACTAGCAAGGAAGTTTGCTTTTTACAGATAATATGGTACAGTGTGAGAAGGGACAGTCTAATTTGTCTTTACAATGTTGTATGTTCTAACCCCCCAACTTTTCTTAATAACTAATGAAAGACTTTATTTTTATTTATTTATTTGGTACTTTCATAGCACTCTCTCCAATTTGTCCCCTCTCTCCCTCCCTCTTTCCCCACATCCTCAGTGCTGGGGATGTATCCTAGGGTTTTGCACTGTGAGACAAGCTTTCTACCAGTGACGTATTTTGGTAGCATTTTCAATCTATTGTTATTACTATTATTATTATTTTTGAGATAGGTTTTCTCTGTGTAACAGTCTTGGCTGTCCTGGAACTCACTTTGTAGACCAGGCTGGCCTCGAACTCACAGAGATCCACCTGCCTCTGCATCTTAAGTGCTGGGATCAAAGGTGTGCACCACTACCCTGTTTTGTCACTGTTTGGAGAATAGTGTATCCGCCCTCAAAAGTGAAGCTCTGAGCTACTGCCTTCATTTAGACTTTAGCTTACACCTTCACCATTCCACTGGCACCTTGGCCGCTATGGCCTCCTTGGCACTGCCTATGAGCACCTGCTGCCCCTCAGCCAGCAAGTGTTGGCAAAGTAGTATTTTGACAGCACAGAACCAGGGATACACTTCCTACCTCCTGGCCCTGCCTTCTGCTCCTAGGTGATTCCCAAGTTCCCACAAACAGAGACTTTTAGTCAGTTCTTGTGTGTTCATTTCCTTGGGGGAATAGCTGCTTCCTGTTATCTGCTAGGTTCTTGTCCTCAAGGCCAAGGATCTTGTTATTCTGGAGAAACCACCCGGGGATTGGCTTTCGTGGTTGCCTTCTGTCTCCCTACGTGTGGAGCTGGGACCCCGGTCCCTTGATGTCTCTCCATCCCCTAGTTTTCCTCTCTCCCTTCCTTGTGCTGGAACATGCACTCTGTCTGCCCACTCGTCCCCCCCCCCCCCCCCCCGTTATACCCAAACCCTGGCTTGCTTCTGGTTTAAATGGAAGTATTTCTGTTGCCACCGGGGAAGGCAACAGCCTGCTAGAGAGCTACAGCCTAGATCTGGCTGTTACTGGAGTCAGAGCCTGGGCCTGGGCAGCCCTAACAGGGCAGCCTTCAGGCCCATTGAAGAGTGACAGAGTGAGTCAATAGGCCACGCCAGAAGAAGTCAGTGTCCAAGGTTTCTGACCTGAAGCTTAGTTCTGAATAGAATGCGAGAGATATGCGCCACTAAGCAGTGCTGGCCAAAGGTGTGCCTGGTCTGTAACTGACTCATTCTGCAGTTCCATTATCCTTCCAGGCAAATGCTCAGAGCTATAAGAACACTCTCCCCAGGAGACAAGCTCCTCCTCTGGCTGCACCATGCTTTTCCTTCTCCCAGCACAAGGGGCGCGCGCGGGGGCCGGGTGGGGGTTGTTTTTGTAGTCTGATAACCAAAGGGTGTCTCTAGCGTGTCTTCACTTCTGCCAGGGCTCAGGGTACTCCGTGCTTTGGTCTCCTCCGCCTCCTGCTTGCTTAGTGTTACCTCTGCCGTGCTTCAGCGAGGCTCAATGGGAAACAGAAAACTACCGGCTCAAGTCTCCGCATCTGCATTTAGGACCCTGAACTAGAAGCCACAGCAGCTAGTCATCTCCAGCTTAACTTCCATAGGCCTCCCCTGCCAAGCCTGGGCTCTCCTGTGTCTTCCTGCGGAAAAGAACAAGTCACAGAGAGGCCCTCAAACGAGCCTCTCTATAGACAGCCCAAGAGACAAACACGAAGCCTGGCAAACACTGGTGCAGACCTGTCTTCTACCTCGTCATTATATTTTTGCCCAATCCGTCTTCTCCATGTATCAGGTCTCTCTGTTTGCTCAGTTATGTACTCATTTATTATGCTGAAACCCAGACATGCCCTGCACCACCCCAGCCCATGACTTTCCTCATCAGTTCCCCTGCCCCTGATGGTCAGGGCTAACACCCTGATCCATAAAGCATCTCGCACATCTCTTCTTCAGTCCTGCATCATCCCATTCCGCCTACTTTACATTGCTATAGCATCATCTCAAGGTGAAATTGATTTTGCTATAATGTTTTATTTAATCAGTGTACTTTCTGTATCAACATATCAGCATAAAATATTATTGACATATTTTAAGTTCTTTCTTTTTTGTACCGTGTCTTAAAAATCTGGTGTGTGCCTTTCCCTCGCTCCAGCACACCTCAACCCAGATGAGCCACATTGCAACTGCTCAATAGACACGTGTGGCAAATTGCTTTGGTATGGGCTAGTGCTCTCTGGATTATCTGGGATTAGATATTACTTAGTTGTTAGCACCTAGCTCAACACCTGTTGGGAAATACCTGCAATCTTTAAAGATGTAAGAATGGCTGTAGCTCAGTTGCAGAACACAGGCCTAACTCTGGGTTTGGTCTCCATCATTGCATAAACTAGTCATGATGGTACATACTTGTATGTAATCCCAGCACTGTGTGTGCTGGACATGTGCGTGGTGTGTGTGTGTGTGCTACCGGTTGCAGAGGCAGGGAGATCAGAAGTTTAAGATTATCCTGGGCTATATAGTAAGTTTGAAGCTCGCCTGGGTTACTTGAGACCCTGTCTCAAATGAGTGAGTGTGTGTGTGTGATATTACACATTTTAAAATATGTATTTGTATTAAAGGTAAAAAGTTATGCTAGGAGATTGATGCTATTCATAGGACCAGATTGTTGTCTGAATTTTACTCAAATTCATAAAATTGCTAATATTTTGACCTTTGATATAAAATGTTTATTTTAGACATATTCTGTTTACTTTTATTTTTAAAAACTTTATTTTACTTTATGTTTAGAAAAACAGTTTGCATATTAAGTAGCACTATAATAAAATGATTTGATACAGTTTTAAACAGTAGAAAAAAGGGCAAATTTTTCAGCTTATAAAATCCCTTCCCCCAACACAGGCAGTGGTGCAATGCCTTTAATCCCAGCACTCGGGAGGCAGAGGCAGGCAGATCTCTGTGAGTTCGAGGCCAGCCTGGTCTACAGAGCGAGTGCCAGGACAGGCTCCAAAACTACACAGAGAAACCCGGTCTCTAAAAACCAAAAAAGTAAATTCCTTTCCCCAAAACAAATTTTTAAAAAATGTACTTTTCCTAAGTGGGTCATTTAGACATATGCCTTCAGTGACTAACCATGTCTAATTTCTGTCTGCATATTTAGATGGTGTAAGTGTGGGTACAGTCTAACATTTAGAAAGGTTGTAAAGTGGCAGCACCTACCTTTAGTCCTAATCCCAGCACTCGGGAGGCAGAAGCAGGTGGATCTCTATGAGTTCAAGGCCACCCTGGTCTACATGGAGAGTTCCAGTCCAGCCAGAGTTACACAGTGAGAGCCTGTATCAAACAAAAATGGAGGAGGAGAGGGAAAGAAGGAAGGAAGGAAGGAAGGAAGGGAAAGAGATGAAGGAAGAAAGAAAGGAAGGGAGGGAGGGAGGGAGGGAAGAAGGGAAGGGAGGAGACCAAGAAAAGGCAATATTAGGTGATGTGGATGAATAGAATGAAAAAGGACATGTGGGTCATGAAAGAATAGCTAAAGCTACTTGTTTTTCTAGTTTCAACTCTATTATCCCCTTTTCTTTTTTCAGTTTTCTGAGTATTGAAAATAGCAAGAATCTTTTTTTTTCTCCAATGATTAAAAACCCAATGTGTTATTCCTTTGATGCAGTGATTGTGAGAAGCAGGCTTCCTTTCTGGTGCTACTGACCGTTAGACATTTTTTTTTTATCTCCCCCTTATTTTACTTTGAATGTTTCAAATGAAAAGACCGAAGCTGTGTTTGCTCACACCCTTGTCTCTTCCCTCAGGCATCCAAGAAAAGCTGGACTACATCGCCTCTTTACACGTAAAGACTATTTGGATCAGTTCCTTTTATAAGTCGTCTCTGAAAGATTTCAGATATGGCATTGAGGACTTCCAAGAAATTGATCCTGTTTTTGGAACAATGAAAGATTTTGAGAATCTGGTCGCCGCCATCCATGACAAAGGTAAAGGAAATGGGAAGTGTGGGGGAACGGGAACTCGGGTGGACAGCATCATGCCTCCTGCTTCCCGCCTACCCATCTTACTGTCACTCTTCTCACACAGTCTGTCCCTAACATTTGAAATGCTTTTACTCATTAGGTTTAAAGTTAATCATTGACTTCATACCCAACCACACCAGCGACAAACATCCTTGGTTTCAATCGAGTAGAACACGGAGCGGGAAATACACTGATTACTACATCTGGCACAACTGCACCCATGAAAATGGTGTAACCATTCCTCCCAACAACTGGGTAAGGACAGCCGATGAGCAGACAGAAGTCAGGCAGCTCTAGACTAACTGAGCGTGAGGTGTGTGGGGCCCTTTATTGAAGGATGCATTTTAGAAATAGAAGACATTTCCAAACGGCTTTTAGGTTTTCTGACTTCATTGTTGAGCCGATTATCCTGGTCAGTGGTACTCTCATCCAGCATCCTCTTCCCCTTTGCCTTCACTTCCCATCTGGTCCAGCATAGGTTCTGGGGCTCCTGGATGGAGATAGGGAATTATAAGTCATTTTTCTTCCTACAAATTTTTCTACTTTTACCGAGCTGCAGGGCCCTTTACCTCTTTGACTCCCCCCCTACTGGGCCACATCATAAACAAACACAGTCATCACTTTCTCCTCTCCTAAACCTCGGTCCTGAGCCTCTGAACACAACCTATTGTCAACATGGCCACCTAAGCCGTTACCTTGTCTTGGGAGGTTGACTGAGTCCTGGTGACCAGCATGGTCTCGCTGTCTTTCAACTCCCTTCTGCCTGCTTCCTAGGGCTCTTAGCAGCAAATGCCACTCAGAGAGCATAGAAGCCATCATTCGTCCTACTTGCTCCTTCTGGAAGAGACCAGGTCCTTTCTGTCTAGGTGGCCAGATTTAGCAAATAAGAGCCTCAAACATGTATGTAAACATGAGTTTTAGGTGAGGTGGTGGCACATGCCTTTAATCTCAGCACTCCAGAGGTAGAAACAGGTGGTTCTCTATGAGTTTAGAGGCCAGCCTGCTCTACAGAGTGAGTTCCAGGACAGCCAAGGCTACACAAAGAAACCCTGTCTCAAAAAAATAAATAAATAAAATAAATTTAAACATGAGTTTTAGATAAGCAGTGTATAACTTTTAGTATAAAATATTGTATAGGCTAGATTCTAGATATACACACACACACACACACACACACACATTATATTGCAAAAGGACTGAATTATCTATGGACCATTAGCTGGTCATTATTCCTGAAAATTCAGCAGCACAGCTACAATTTAACATTTACTTTGTGTTAGGTGGTAAGATTAATACAGAGATCTCCTGAAATATAAAAGACGATTGTGAGAGTTGTGTGTAAATTCCCTATTTTTTACACCAGAGACTTGAGCATCTGCTGATCTGATGGATCCTGGAACCAACCTTTCCAGTGACTCTGAGTCTGGCTCTACTAGGATAGAGTCTGTGCTGTCCCTGAAAGTCAGGTCTGCTAGGGACTTTCTAGTCCAGCAGGTGAGCTGTCTCTTGTCTTAGGCATGATCTTCCCACTCAGGCCTGTTTCTCTTTGCTTTCTTTCTAGTCATTTATTCTAGATTCTCTTGCCTCACTGGAGTCTCCCATCTTCTCACCCTGACCTTCTCTGATGGTAACTGGATATCAATTTTCAACCTAAACTTTGCACTCGGAGTTTGCACATTTCACGACTATGTGGCCTCTCTGAAGCTGCCCATCATGCATCCCATGGCAGGCCATCAGCGCATCCTGACATGTTTACTGCCTTAACCAAACCATCTCCAAATTAACCCCTGGTTAAAAGGCTATTAGTGAACATTTATTAAGCATGCTGCATGCAAGCTATCTACCTAGGGTCTTACATTCATTAATTCATCCAGTCTACCCCTCCAATTCTACGAATTAGATTTCAGTTCCTGTCTTGCACATAGGCAGAGTGAGGTCTCAGAGCTGATGAATGAAAAGACTAAGGTCTGGACACATACTCACACCTCAGACCCGCTATCTCTTGACTTTTGCTTTTGACAGTTGCTTTTTCTTTCCACCACTTTTTCCATCCTTCCATCAGCTTTTTTTCCACTTGTAGGCAAGGTTGATTTCTAATGTAAAAAGTTAACACACACTTAGAGAGGTGGCTCGGTGGCTAAGAGTACTGGCTGCTCTTCCAGAGAACCTAGGTTCTGTTCTCAGCGCCTACATTGGGCAACTTACAAATGTTTGTAATTCCAGCCCTAGGGACCTGACATCCTCTATGGTCTCCATGGCCACACACACACATGAAATCACATAAATAAAAATAACTCTTAAAAAGTTAGCACATGCAAATAGATGATGGTATGTTTCCTTGAAAGACATCAGCAGCTTCTCTCTGTGGCAATTTGTCATGGAAATGCAGATCCCATGTGACCATGTCTTCCAATTAAAAAGAAAAGGATTTAGGTGGGAAAACAACCCCCCCAAACCCCTCTCCCACCACCTTGTTTCCAGTTGCTCTTTATCAAGACCTGAACACATGAACGAAAGGCCTGAGATACGGTCCAAGAAACTCTCATGTTTAAGGTTGAATTGAGGCAGATTGACCAGAGATATGAGGGACAAGCCAGAGAATTTCAACATGCAGTCATGCCCCATTCCTTCTAGAAAGAAGATTTTAGTCACAGCATCAAACACCACTGAAGGCTGGTGCCTGAAGTCAGACTTACCCCCAGATGACTAGGAAGGTTTTAAGTGACTGTGTCTAATACAAACTCTTTGGGCAATCATTTTACATCTCTGACTTCATGCCCCAAGACTAATACAGGCCATCTTTCTCTACAATCTGCCTCACATACAGGGGTCTTGAGCCTGAGCAGCAGATTCAAGGAAATATGTTAGGAAGGCTTAAGTCCCTTAAGTTGGTCTTGTCCTGGAATTGAGAGCATCAGCTGCTATTGTGGTCATTGGGAATGTTGTCTACTTGACAAGTATTTCATAACCACTCCTGTGGCGCATTGAGGTAAAATCTGGGGTTCTCCCTGGAAAGACAATGCCTAGGAGCTGGGGTGGCAAGGTCACATCTTTGTGGACAAGGCCAGTGTGGGAAGGAGTGAGGTAACCTTGCCTTCTTTTCCCTGTTTGCTAGCTGAGTGTGTATGGGAACTCCAGTTGGCACTTTGATGAAGTACGAAAGCAATGTTATTTTCACCAGTTTTTGAAAGAGCAACCTGATTTAAATTTCCGAAATCCTGCTGTTCAAGAGGAAATAAAGGTGAGTATGGACACCCACACAGACTTCTCCACTGGTGGGAAGCTATGTGGTTATTTGAAACACTCCGTGTTGACTGAACATCTATGTAGGCAAAGTCACGGTGTGTCATTAAATTATCCAGTTAAGATGTCAAACTTGAATGAAAATATTGACATATGTTGGTGGCTCCTTTCTTCATCTAAACCAGAATAACGTAAATAACATGGTGGGGGGATCCTCAGCTAGAGGCAGTTGGCTGGTCTGTTGGTAGGGGTAGAGGGCTGAGAAGGTGAGAGGGAGTGAGAGGGTGTGGAGGGGGGGTGTTGAAAATGCAGGCTTTGGGAGCTGGTTCCTGCATGAGCAGTGAACCTTCTGGGTGAATTGTTCCGCTTTTTCTGGCCTCAGATCCTTGACCTATGAAACATAGTTGGTAGTGATATTGTGTTTGTTCACTAGACGGGATGAGATAATCCATGCATGGCACTTTTATGTTTACTCAGTAAACACTGGCCTCTTTCACACTCTGTGCCAGTCTCTATCCTGAGCATTGAGAATTTGACTGGGGTGGGGTGGGGTGGGGAGCCCATCCCTCAGCCATTCTCTGGAACACTAAGGGGACAATGACATCAATTCATGCATGGTACTGATTAGGAAAGGCATTGGTATACCAGGGAGAGCTTGTTCTTCCAAAGAAGGGGAACGCTTGGGACAGATACTGCTGAGATAAGAAATGGAGCAGGAGAGTTCCAGTTGTGTGTTAGTGTGTGTGTGCGTGCACGTATGTTCGTGTAAAATCCTCAAGTTCAATTTTAAATTTTAGATAATGAATAATGCAATTTGGCAGATATTTCTATTTTAAAAAAATCGTCTTTGTTTCTTGAAATTAAAATTTAACTTGGTGTCCTGAGTGTTAACTGGCAGCCCCACTTGTGATCTGGCGAGACTGAAGGGTGAGAGGCACTGATCCAGAAGTAAGAGGTGAGGCTAGTCGGATCGGCAAGGCACATGCTGTGCACATCACTGAAGGTCCCTCTATGGGATGGGAAGGTTCCTGTGGTCACCTCAGCGGACTCCCACCAGAGTGATCCTAAATCTCAGCTCAGGGATTAGACCTGTGTTCCCACTCTTGATACTGCCGTGGGTGGAGTGGGTGGGAATTCAGGGGAGCTGGTAGGGAGGAGACAGGACAGAACAGAGAGCTGTAGGCAACTCTAGCAGAAAATCAACTGACCATAAAAACTTAGGTCATTTCTGGACCCTGAATTCTGTCCCATTCTTCTATCTATTGTTTTCTATGACAGGACCACCGTCTGGTTACTGTAGCTTTGTAGTAAGTTGTGAAAGCAAGAAGGGTGAGTCTGCCTGGCATGGCGATGCTCTGCCTTTAATCCCAGCACTCAGGAGGTGTAGGCAGGAGGATCTCTGTGAATTCAAAGGCAGCCTGGTTTCCAGAAGTTCCAGGACAGCCAGGGCTACACAGAGAAACCCTGTCTAATAAGCAAACAAACAAGCATGAGTTCAACTTTGTTTTGGATATTGTGTGACTGTTCTGAGTCCTTTGCTTTTCCATATGAATGTTTATAGCAGCATCTCAACTGTGCAAAGAAGCCAGATGGCATTTCAATAAAACTACACCAAGTCTGTATCACGTTTTGAGGAGTATTGACATCTTCATATTAAACCTTCCAATCTATGAACATGGTATGCCTTTCCATTTGTTTAAGTGCCCTCCAGTTTCTTCCTACAATGTTTTATAATTTCAGAAAAAAAAGGCCCTGACTTTTGTTTTCTCTCCCCTTCTCCCTCCTTCCTTCCCCTCCTTGCTTTCTCTTTCTTTTCTTTCTTCATTCTTTCTAGTTTTTCTCATTCTAGACAAGTCCTTTACCACTGAGCTACACCCTACCCCCAGCCTTCTGCATTTCATTTTAGATATTTATTCCTGTGGTCTCCTTAGGCTTAAGACCATTTTTACATGTGTGAGGTCTCAATGAATTGCTAAGGAGTCTATTCTAGAAGCAGGCATCTTATTTCAGTGAGGTTAGGAGGCCATAGTTACAGTCAGAAGACTAAGGGTTAGGTTTGATCTTGGTGTGAATGAACTCTCTTGACAGCTATAACATGTGTCTTTCTTCCAAACACCCTCTCCTAATCCACAGCTAATATGCTACACACATCATCAGATAAGACCACCATCTCCTAGCCCAGTCAACACATCACACATACCACCAGAGGAGACCGCCCTCTCCTAGCCCACAGCCAATATGTTACACACACACCACCAGATGAGACCACCATCTCTTAGCCCACAGCCCACACATCAAAGTTCACTGATATATATCCCTCGCCACTGCCCATACTTATTAGTCACTTACTATATGACAAGTAATTTACTGAGCTCTGTTGATGCTCTTAAGGTATCATAGAAAAGGCGCCTTCGGGTGTTTCTTGGGAGACAGGAATAGGTCCAAACCTACATTTGGGGGCTGGAGTTCACCATCCCGGGTCCTGTGTTGAGATACCATTTCTCTGTGTGCTTCTCTTTACTTGCAGTTTCCAGTTAGAAATTCGTAAATATGTCAAGCAGTCAGCTGAACAGGTAGTGGACTCTCTGGGCCTTTGTAGTGAGAGATGGATGGTCTGGAGATATTTAAACAAGTGTTGCATATTTTGCCACATTGTGCTGGTGGATACATTAATGATTCTTTGACTAACTTCTCTTGCAAGCATCCAGGTGGTGGGATCTGTGAATACAATTCTTACTAAGAAGTCCCCTGGAATGAAAGTCCCCCTGTCTTGGCCATTGCTACCTTACCCAAAGGGTAACCATTATTTGGAAGGCAAGTAAAGATTCACTATTAAGAGTAAATAAGAAATGCCGAGAGGCTGAGATGAGGGAGGCTCCTGGCCCGGACCTTTCTCCGAGGTCTCTTCCAACGGCCTCCTGCTCCCCCTACCCGCAGCGCTTATCTGCATGGTTGAGCTGAGTGGGTTAATAATTTGCAGCTTAGATGGTTGGCAGTGAGGAGGTATCTGGTAGCAACTTGAACTTCTGGAGCTTGAGCCTTCTCCCCTGGCTGCCATCAGCTTTCAGCTACCGCCCCCATACTTGCCCCCATAGTGGACTTGTATACAGGGGAGGGCTCTTCCTACTTGGTCTCTTCCCTTCCGGGAACTCACTGTCTGCGTGCTTTCCCCTGGAGATGTTAGAAGGCCCAAGAGGCTCTGGTGACTTAGATAGTAGTGTTTTGTACACTTCCAGTCTGCTTTCTACCTGCCTTCCAAGTCAACCCCATCCCCCTTTTTGATGGACGGGGAACCAGAGCAGGGTACAGTGACCTGGTGGGATAGTCAGGATGTTTAGTAAGAAACTCCTGGTTGTCTAGCCGCTGTCTGGGCTCAGAATGATCTTGGACACATTATATGGGAAGGCTGAGCGCTGGAGTAGGAAATGGCTCTTAGCCGGAGATGAGAAGCCAAGAGTCACTCCCAGCTCAACATTAGAACCTATAGCTAAATGTGGACTCTGTTCAGCCCATAGCAAGCACGGGACTGCTGGAGACAGACACCACAATTCAAAATACAGTTAACTCACAACCTGCTTTAAAGCCAGCCCCGCGGCTTATCAATAATGATTGTGTAACATTACACTCTTGTGTGCCAGACACTTCATTCTCCGTATGCATTCATCTGGTGGTGTGTGTGTGATGTGTGGGCCATGGGCTAGGAGATGGTGGTCTCCTCTGGTGGTGTGTGTGATGTGTGGGCTGTGGGCTAAGAGATGGTGGTCTCATCTGGTGGTGTGTGTGTAACATATTGGCTGTGGGCTAGGAGATGGTGGTCTTATTTGATGATGTGTGTAGCATATTAGCTGTGGATTAGGAGAGGGTGTTTGGAAGAAAGACACATGTTATAGCTGTCAAGGTATTGTGTTATAGAGAAGAGGTAGGCAACAGAAGAGAAACCACAGCAAAGCGTGCTGATTGTCATGGCAGAAGAAAGTCAGCAAGCAGATACCGAAGCTGTCCAGACGTGGAGCAGGTAAGGTTGGGGCAGGAGGTTGCAAGAAGGCAGTGATGCTCAGAGATGGAATAGGCCATATGAAGAGACAGTTCAGGGTGTGTGTGTGTGGGGGGGGGCGTTGGTTCAAGCAGAGGAAAAGCTCGAATCATGTACTTTTGAGGTGCTGGCAGTTAACTTGTATGGCTAGGGTGTGATGTACATGGCAGGACACGTGACTCAATGAGACCCAGGGATCAAGTTGTGAGCAACCCCAAAAGTCCTGGCAAAAGCCCGTGAGTCTAAATTTCAGATAGGGAAATGGTTCTGGTTTGCATTTTTAATCAGTCTGGTTTTAGAGAAGGGATGGGAAGAGAGCAGTTTCAGAGGCTGAATTCAAAGCACAGCCATCTGGAAAGGAATCCAGCCGCCTTGGGGCTGCAAAGCGGGGAGGGGTGGCAGAGGTAGAGAGGTGGCCAGAGAACTCACCAGGATTTCAAGAGGAGTCTAGTAGGACCCAGGTTGCAGACTGGAACCCTGGGTTGGGAGGGTGTTGCTCTGAAATGGAAGATGAAAAGAGAGAGGCCGTGTTGGCTCTGCACATTGGGAGGTCTCTGGGAGACACCCAAGTGTCCAGTGAAACGATATCTTAGGACACAGGTATCAGGGGAAGGTGAGCTTTATCAGTGATAAAGACGTAGGATTTGTTGACAAATGCATTGACAGATAACAATGACAGAAGCAGGCCGGCTGAGAAGAACAAGGGAATGGATTGTTTTAACTTGATAGTGAGGCCTAGGTGTGGGCAGACCCTCCAATTAAAAAGAAAGAAATAAGCCGGGCGGTGGTGGCACAAACCTTTAGTCCTTTAACTAGGGAGGCACAGGCAGGCGGATCTCTGTGAGTTCAAGGCCGAGGCTACACAGAAACCCTGTCTTGGAAAAAAAAAAAAAAAAAAAAAAAAAAAAAAAAAAACGAAACAAAAAAACAAATAGAAAATGGAGGGCACAAGTGAGATGTCTCAGTAGGTAGAAGTGCTTGCCAAGAGACTTGAGTTCTATTCCCAAGGACCCATGTAAGGGTGAGAAGACGGAACTGACCCCACACAAAGTTGTCCCCTGACCTACACTGCCATGTTGTGGCATGCACATGCCCTCCCCACAATCACTCGGGAATGGAGCCAGCGCAGAAGGTAAGGGGTGCACACGGCTCCAATTTTAGCTCTGTCGCCTACTGAGCTTATGACCTTGGCTCAGGTGCTCCATCTCTCATCTGTTCCTAATTCATAGAATAGGAACAGTAATGGTGCCCTGCTAGTGGGATTTGAAGGTAAAATGAATTAAACTCTTTAAAGCATTTAGAATAGTGGTACTGTGTGTGTGTGTGTGTGTGTGTGTGTGTGTGTGTGTGTGTGTACCTTTTAAGATAATCAATAATGGATATTGTTAGAAATAAATGACTAATCACAACGATGGGACCTCTTAAAGATCCCATAAACCAAGTGAGATATTAAGAGCTAAGTAGAGCGTCTGGAGAGATGCCTCGAGGTTAAGAGCACTGGCTGCTCTTCCAGAGGACCCGGGTTCAATTCCCAGCACCTGCAGGGCAGCTCACAGCTGTCTGTAACTCCAGTTCCAGGGGCTCTAACACCCCTCACATAGCACACATACACACCAAACACCAATGCACATAAAATAAGTAAATTTAAAAAAGAGCTAAGTAGGGATTGGTCACTAGTGTTCACAAAGCAAGGAGGTTGAGGTGCATGTACAGATGTACAGACGTATACAGGTGGGGATGTATAGACGTATACAGGTGGAGATGTATAGACGTATGCAGATGGGGATGTATAGACGTATGCAGGTGGAGATGGATGTATAGACGTATGCAGGTGTGCTGGGAGGAATACTCCATTTGTCCTCCCAGAGCTGCTGAAAAGGGGGAGCTGTTCTCACTCTGGGGAAGGGTTTCAGCTCCTATAGAGGCTGTGGTGCAGGTATCTCAACTGCAGAGCTGCAGGACTGGTTTCCAAACCATCAGGTTCTAGAACCTCTCATCCCCATTTTCTTGCTCCCTGGGGACTCAGAAGATTTTCCCTGTTTTTCTGGGTAGCTGTAGGGAGCTTTTGTTTCTCTTGCCTGTAACCAGAGGATGTTGTTTTTCCTGTACTTGTGAAAAGTCTCCTTTATCATTCCTTCCTGAGAGAGACTCCTGAAGCTAATGTCATTTCAGGGGAGATGTAGGATGTCTGTAGGCTGCATGTATGTGTTACTTTTATTGGTTGATGAGTGAGCTGCTCAACCAATGGCCAAGCAGAATAGACCTAGGCAGGAATTCCAAACAAAGAGAAGGAAGGTGGGGTTAAGGAGACACCATGTAGCCGCTGGGGAAGCAAGATACCAGGGCATCACCGGTAAGCTACAACCACATTTTGGTACACAGATTAATAGAGATGGGTTAATATTTTAAGAGAGAGCTAACCAGTAAGAAGCCTAAGCCCTTGGCCAAACAGTTGTAACTGATATTAAGCCTCAGAGTGGTTATTTAGTAAGAGGCATCAGGGTCTGGGTGGGTAGAGAGAAAATGGTCCACTAGGATGGGACTAGGCGAAAACGTCCCCCTCTACATAAGGGGACATGCTATGTGTCATCACATAGAAGAGTAGAGCCACAGGGCTAGAGATATGGCTCAATGGCTGTTATTCTAGAGGTCCTGAGTTCAATTCCCAGCACTCACATGGAAGCTCACAACTGTATGTTACTGTAGTTCCATGGGATCTGATGCCCTTTTCTGGTGTGTAGACATATATACAGACAAAACACATATGTAAAATATGTAAATAAATCTAAAAACAAAAAAAGCAGAGCCCCTGTATTTCCCACACTTGACTATTTAGGTAAATGGTTCCAGTTTAACTATCTTTAAAAAAAAAAAAAGCCTTCAATGTTAGCTAGGGGAATGTAGTAAGTTCTAGGTGAGCCTGGAATACAGAGTGAGACCTGATCCCCCAAACCAACCAGCCAACCAACCAACAGTGAAACAAATAAGCAAACACTCCCACCCAGGCCAGCCCCCTTGGTCTGGATGTCATGATTGTTGACTCAATGCTCAGCGTGGCCGTGTGTTAGAAGAGAAAAAATGTCCACTGGGAAATCAGGACAGTGTGGTATCATGGTTGGCTAAGAGTCAAGGGCACAGTGTACGGTCTCCAGAGTCCCCAAGTCTGTATCACCAGACCAGATGGAACCAGGCACTGTGCCCATTTTCATATCCACTGCCTGGAGAGCTTAACTGGAACGAGAGGAAGTTAAGGATTAAACTCAGGAGCCCTCTTCTCTCATTTGGTTGAGAGAACAAGTAACATGAAGGAAGTGCTTCTTAAGATCAAACTTTGGGTTATATGGTTAAAACTTCAGCTTTTAAAATGTTTCATCAGGGAGCTGGAGAGATGGCTCAGCAGTTAGGAGCACAGGCTGCTCTTCCAGAGGTTCTGAGTTCAATTCCCAGCAACCACATGGTGGTTCACAAGCATCTGTAATGATATCTGGTGCCCTCTTCTGGCGTGCAAGCAAACATGCAGACAGAACACTGTATAAGTTAAAAAAAAAAAATGTGTCATCAGGTCTGGGTGTGTTGCTCAGTGGCTGTGAGCACTTTCCTAACAGCCCCAGAGTCCAGGGCTCCATCTGTGACACTTCAAACAAACATACTCAAAACCATTGCATGAAGCAAGGACACAAAGTATGATACAGGGGTTCCAGGGCACTCAGTTCTCATTCTGTTTCTTTTTTTTTTTTTTAAGATTTTTTTTTTTTTAATTTCTTCTTATGTCTCTGTGTGGGTATATGCACTGGAGGGAAGGTTCCCCTGGAGGCCAAGAGGTCCTTGGAGCTGGATTGCAGGCAGTTGTGACCCTCCTGACACGGGCGCTGGAAACTCAATTCAGGCCCTTGGCAAGAGCAGTATGCGCTCATAACTGTGGAGCCATTTCTCCTGCCCACAGTTTTCACTCTTCGGTGGAGGTTAATATTTAGCCTTGCTGAGGTTCTGAAGTGAAGGAGGAGCTCATGAGGAAAGTAAGTAGCTGTATTCTAGAAAATCAACACTCACATGTTTAATGCTTACAGTAACGTGAAGGACCGTGTTCACCCACACCTTGTCAGAAGTTGCTTGGGTGGTTTACAGGTTTTGTGCTCTGACTTGACCAGTGTTCATGTTTTCAAGACAAAGCACCAAGTGGGGCTGAACCTAGGTGAGGAGGCATCTGATGCTTGTAAAAGTCGGGGGCTTCTCAGTGAGTGTACAAAAGTGAGGGGTGTTCAGGGCAACAGTGCAGCACCATCTAGTGAGTTGGTCCAGAACCTTCAGGGAGCCCATTCCACAAACCAGGGGCCTTCGTGTGCCCAGCAGGTTGTTTGTGTGTGGCGTCTCTCTGTTGAGTTCCTCAACCCAGGCACTAGCTAACCAATGGCACCTCCAGCTCTTCGGGGCATTCTCCTCATCTGTAGACTCCATGAAGCCAGAGCACACATGGAACTGCTTCGATGTTTTGACTTCTCACATCCAAAGAAGATTTGGCTGCTTTTGCCATCATTGTCCATCCTGTTACACCATCTTTGAACCAGTCCCCATTTACCCTCTTTGGATTTGCCTATTGTGGACATTTTATCTATCTATCTATCTATCTATCTATCTATCTATCTATCTATCTATTTTTTTTTTTCAAGACAGGGTTTCTCTGTGTAGCTTTGGAGTCCACCCTGGAACTCACTCTGTAGACCAGGCTGGCCTCGAACTCACAAAGATCTACCTGCCTCTGCCTCCCCAGTGCAGGGATTAAAGGCGTGTGCCACCACTGCCTCACTAATATTTGTTTGTTTATTTATTTATTCAGTGTATGTGTGTATGTGTGTGTGTGTGTGTGTGTGTGTGTGTCCAGAAGTCAGAATCTCCTGGAATTGGAGCTACAGATGGTTGTGAACTGCTATTTGGGTGTTAGGAATCAAATTTGGGTCCTCTGGAAGATCAGTCAGTTTTCTTAACCATTGAGCCATCTCTCCAGCCACACGGACATTTTATATAAAGGAAACAACTCAATATTTATTCCTTGTCTTTATCAAAATGCTTTTAAGATTCAGGTATGTCCCAGAATGCATCAGAACTTCCTTCTTATCTGTGAACAGGTAATATTCATCATATGGATGGATTTACCATCAGGAATAGTTTAAACTTAAGAGCCCTGCTACCCTGAACATTCAAGTTTTCGTTTAGATATAAATTTTCATTTCTTTTGGGTATGTATCTAAGTATGGAATTACTAGTTTAAGTCAACTTTATGTTTAATTTTTAAAATCAGGTTACAGTATTTTCTGCTTGAAATCTTCCAGGACTTTCCACCTATCCTTCCTAGTTCCAAGTTTTTGCCATTGCCTGTAAAGCTAGATAGACATGGCAAGTCCAACTTCTGTTACTTCCCCTTTTGTCTATACTTCCTTGGGTATGTTATCTTCTGTTTAAAAATCATTATTTAAGTATTTATTTTGTTTTTTTTTCAAGACACGGATTCTATGTGTAGTCCTTGCTGTCCTGGAACTCACTCTGTAGACCAGGCTGGTCTACACTCACAGAGATCTGTCTGCCTCTGCCTCCTGAGTATTGGGTTTAAAAGTGTCCACCACCACTGCCTGGCAGATACCCCTTTTTAAATTTTTTAAAATTGTCTAGGGAACCTGACTTCATTTCCGTATCTGTTCTCTGCCTGGGATGCTTTTTCAACAAACCCAGCATCTGGCACTGAGAGAACCACTTATGGAATGAGAGAGTGAAGTTATGTATGTGATATGTTTTGTATGTAGGAGCCATTTTGATGGTCACCCACACACAGAGTCTCTCTAATGTTCTGACTAGAGTTTGTAGTTGATGTAACCAAGTGCTTTTCTTCTCCATGTCCAGGAAATAATACAGTTTTGGCTCTCGAAGGGTGTTGATGGCTTTAGTTTTGATGCGGTTAAATTTCTTCTGGAAGCAAAGGACCTGAGAAACGAAATCCAAGTAAATACATCCCAAATTCCGGTAAGGTCTTATTTGAAACTTCTTTTTTCTTTGCTTCACCTGGAAATGTCATAGAATGTTTCTGTTTTTAAAATTTAAAATTTATGATATTTTAAAAAGTGTGTGTATGTGTGTGTTTGTGTGTGTGGGTGTGTGCAAGTGAGTGCAGATGCCCACAAAAGCTAGAGGAGGGTGCTGGATTGCCTTGGGGCTCACTAGATGGGTATCTGGAACTAAACATGTCCTCCAAAAGAGCAGTGAACTCACAGTCTTCCCCTGTGAGCGGCTCCTCCAGTCCTGTATCTTGTAGTCTAAGATGCCAGCTACAAGGATGAGCTGCCTACAGTAAGAACTCTGAAGTATGGCCTTTTAAAATTTTTTTTCGAGATAGGGTTTCTCTGTGGCTTTGGAGGCTATCCTGGAACTAGCTCATGTAGATCAGGATGGTCTTGACCTCACACAGATCCACCTGCCTCTGCCTCCCGAGTGCTGGGATTAAAGGTGTGCGCCACCAACGCCCTGGTTTTTAAAGTTACACACCATTCAAGGGGCTGGAGAGATGGCTCAAAGCTTGAGAGCATTGGCTGCTCTTCCAGAGGTCCTGAGTTCGGTTCCCAGCAACCATATGGTGGCTCACAACCATCTACAATGTGATCTGGTGCCTTCTGGTGTGCAGGGATATATGCAGGCAGAACACTGTATACACAATAATAAATAAATCTTTTTTTTTTTAAGTTACCGATTTAAGAGCCCCTGCAGAGCTGGGCGTTGGTGGCGCATACCTTTAATCCCAGCACTCAGGAGGCAGAGGCAGGTGGATCTCTGTGAATTTGAGCCAGCCTGGTCTACAGAGCGAGTTCCAGGGCAGTCTCCAAAGCTACAGAGAAACCCTGTCTCGAACCCCCCCCCCCCCTTCAAAAAAGAAGAGCCCCTGCAGTACTATGGGTTGTGAGTATCTGCCATGCACAAGCCTCTTGTGCACCGAGGTTTCTAGGACTAACATTGAGCAAACACCGCCTTAGTTTAACCCATCTGATCAGACCATCTGAACTTACATGGAGCCCTGGTGCATGGTGAAATGATGCTAACCATGCTGTCCTGTTTTCCTAAGGACACGGTCACCCACTATTCAGAGCTCTACCACGACTTCACTACTACTCAAGTGGGAATGCATGACATTGTCCGGGACTTCAGACAGACCATGGATCAGTACAGCAGGGAGCCTGGCAGATACCGGTAACCACAGGCTGAAGTTATATTCTAAAAAACCTGCATAACTATAATTGCATTTTATTATTATTATTATTCGTGTGTGTATGTGTGTGTGTGTGTGTGATGTGTGTGTAAGGGCATGGGTGTCATGGAACACAAATGGAGGTCACAGAGTAACCCTGTGGTTCTCTGTCTGTGTATGAGTTCCAGGGATTGAACACAGGTCACCAGGCTTGCATGGCGCTTTCTGAACCATGTTATGTTCCTACCTTTAAAATTCTTTTTAAAATTAGGGTTGGAGAGATGGCTCAGTGGTTAAGAACACTAGTTGGTCTTCACTAGGTCCTGAGTTGGATTCCCAGCAACCATATGATGGCTCACAACCATCTGTAATGAGATTTGGTTCTCTCTTCTGGCCTGAAGGCACACATGCAGACAGAACACTGTACACATAATAAATAAATCTTTAAAAAATTTTTAAATTAAATTTAACTTACATAATTATAATTTAGAACTAGATTATGTCAGGGTATGCAATAATCTCTCATGATGCTTATCTTTGTGATTTTCAGTCTCCTCTTTTGTAGAGTGTTAAAGATAAAATTAATTTGAAAGAATATATCAGTTAGGTGTTAGATGTGAGTCAAACTGAAAAAGTATAACAACAGGTTTATTTGAGCAAAGGAACTCCTGGGCAGCTCCTCCAGTCCCAGAGCTGGAGGTCAGAGAAGCTGCACACCTGAACTAAAGCAGGGAGATTGTATAGGTTGTGGATGAGGGGTGATGACATGTCCATCACAAGCTGGGTTTGTGCCCAAGTATGGTCAACATTTGGGCATTTTGTAGGCACCAAGAATTTGGAACTGGGCTTTTGGCATCTTTCCTTTGTTTGGAGACTCTCTGAGTGGGTGGGGTTTGGAGAGAGAGAGAGAGAGAGACAGAGAGAGAGAGAGAGAGAGAGAG